TAACGGGCTGGCTCGCCCACTCCAGCAAGCAGGGAGTCAAAGCCAGACTCCCGACCTAAAATATAGAGACACGCGCAGCTCCGGCCACTTCTTCCTAATTGCACAATTACTTTACCGAGCAACCGGGGATGGGAGGGCCGTGGTGGGGGGGTAAGGCTTTTTTTTTTAGCTAAGCCAAGTTAAGAAAAGTCACAGAAGTAATCACAAGTCAAAATTATTTACTAAATGAAATCCGTTCTTCACAAAGGAACCTTTATTTCTTCTTAAAGAAAAAAAGGGCAAAAATTGCATGATCTCAGCATGGCAAGGATAGCATAAAGCAACAGTGGAATTAGTGGTCAATTATTACAGCTTCTTAATTTTCAACCCGAGAGCTTGCAACGCATTTTATTTGGGTTTTTAAATGCACTGTAACAACAGCAGTATTTCTGCTCTTTACCATGCCTTGGATCTGAGATGTCAAAGTACTTTACAAACAAATAACTGGAAACAATTTGGGATTGAGGCTCTTTATAGATGGAGAGCAGGGCCCGGGGAGGAAGCAATTTGCCCAAGGTCACGGGCTGAATCTGAGGCACAGCTGGAAACACTACTCATGAATGCTGGCTCCTGGAGCCTCGGAGCTCATCACCACCAGCCTGCCTCCCTCCCACACACACAACAAAACAAAACCCAAAAGCTGGAAGACAGCAACGGGGCAGAGAAGTCACCTGCTGTCCGAAGCCCAGGGTGTCCGCACTGACAATTTGCCCTACAGGTCGAAAGCTGGGCGTGTGGGTCATATGGCTCTGCAGAGTGCCGTTGCTGAAACCAAGAGAATCGGTCGCAAATGAAAGTTTACGGTGTTCTCTGCATATTTGGGGCAGCTCAGCTTTCCATCTTGAGTGCCCCAGTGTATTTGTCAGATTCTTGCAAAGCATCAGCCTCCCAGGAAGGTACTCTGGTACTTGGCCCACCTGGAAGGTCTCGGCCTTTCCTGCGCTGGCTCCCTCATGAACCTGCCCCTGTGGGCTCAGGGTTGGGGTGCAAGATTCAGAAGAGGAGAGGAGAGAGAGCAGGAGAGGGTGGGAGAAAGGGGGCAAGAAAAGAAAGACAGGTGGGCCTGGTTTCCAACCTTTGCAGGCTCTAGGACCCCTTCTTACAGAGCCTCTATCCCGCACTATAGCAAATCCATTACAATCCCCCGAATACAATTTGTAGGAGATTATTTACCAGTTCGGTTTGGTTGCAGTTTACTGGTTGACAATGTTACAGTTTTGTAGATATGTAATTAAACATGTAATAATTTTGATTTTACAGTTTTCTTCTCTGTATTTGGAGCTCTTTTTTTTTTTTTTTTTCCTTCCCAGGTCTCAGATAGGTTCACAGGGTCTGGAAATGCCTATAGGACATAGGCACTACCCATACTGACTTTAATGGGTAAAACAGCCCAGAGGGAGAGAAAAAGGGGGATGGATGAGAGAAAACAAAGTTGACCAGGACAGCGGGAAAACAGAATCCAAACCAAACCAAAACAAAAATTTAGGAAAGCAGACAGAGGGAGTTGTAGAAACTCTGGAATTGCTGGTTAGAAAGACGAGAGAGTGAAAGCAGGCCTTACCAGCATATTTCCAGGAAAAGAGACAGACAGATGAAAGACCAATGCAACCATAGATTAAAAAAAAAAACAAAAAACCCTCTCTCTTATTATTCAATAATTTATTGAGCAAGGGCCAGATACGACGCGTGGCCTCAGAGATACAGAGCTGGATCAGATACAGGCTCTACTCTCAAGGAGTTTACTGTTTTATTGAGGGAGACAGAAAAGGTAAACAAACAGTTCAGATATGTGATAAGGACTCAGATGGAGGGAGGCTTGGGGGGCTGGGCAGGTTCAGACGAGGAACCCAGGGGAAGGACCCTTGGGTTGTTCAAAGGCACAGACGTGTGGACGGCAAGGCGCGGGAGCTTGAGGAAGGCCTGGGGTAGGGGTGGAGGCAGGGGGTGTGGGAGCAGGAAGGTCACTGGGTGAGGCTGAAAAGCCAAACTAAGGTGATTTAGACTTCCGGGAGCATTTGGATTGATTCTGCAGCCAAAGGTCAACCAGGAGTGGTTTCCAAGGCGGGGTGGGGGGTAGGGGGGCCGGTTTACTTCCGTTTGGGAATCTGACAGGGCAGGGCACAGGCGGGGAGGGTAGAGGGGGGAAAACAGAGAAGAGCTGTCACCCTCTTGTGGTGGGAGGGAAAGGGCCTGTTTGAGGGAGGGGACAGGATGGGTGAGGTTGGGTCAAGCCTGAGGAGGGTCAGGGGGCAGTGGGCAGGAGCTGGGAATGCGTTGGAAGTGGGAGAGGAGGCAGGGGAGGAATCAGGTATGGCCCCCCAGGACCCCAGTTTGAGTGGTTGCTGATGCTGTTATCTGGCAGAGGGAGTGTAAGAAAAAGGGCAGGCGTGGAGGAAAGTTTTCATTTCCCCAGAGCCCAGTGATCCTAAGGCCGGAGCCATGCTAGAGGGGATTGTGTCCTAGTGAGGCCTCTGAAAAGCTGCTGGAAAAACCCAGAGAAACCCTTTAAGGGGTGGGGAGAGTCCTTGGTAGACTGGTCACTGGTAGACTGGTAGTGTTTTAGGGGGCACCCCTGGCCAAGCCAGAAACAATCCAGAGACCAAACACCAGGAATCTGTTCATTCCGCCTCGGAAGAGAGGGGCTTGAAGTCCATAGGGCCCTACAGGGAACAGGACAGAAGCCTCTGAGACCATGTTGAATGCAGGACTGGGGTCCCCATTGTGATTCATGGTTGAAGGGAGTCGACTGGAAGTTGGCAGATGAAAGCTCCAAGCCATACCCAGAAGTCCGTGTGCCCCCTGGCTAGCCATCTAACCTGGGTATCATCTAGTGCGATGGCAGGGTTGGATCGAGACAAAGATCTCTATCAATCATGGCAAATTCACTGGGTTAAACCCCCATCACCCAGAGCTGACCCTTTCCTACCGGAGGAAGTAATGAGCTAGAAATAAGTGCCATCTGAAGCTGAGTCTAAGTAAATCTGTGATCATGGACATTTCAAGCCCTAGCTTCGGCTTGGGCTTTCAAACAGATGGATGCTCTAGCATGAAACTGCCAAGATTAAGAAGGCAGTACGTGTGGCTGGGGAAATGGCCGGGGCTATCCACCGAGCTCTAGTCCCAAATCCTGGCCTGGGACTCGCTCAGCATTCACGGGAAGTAAACAGCCCCAGAGCAAAGCAACTGCATTTCTTTCCCGGTCTTTGATATTGGCAAAGGGAAGACAAACGAGGGCTCTCTGGTTTGGGGACGGCATGAATGAAACACACATGTCCATAAATAAACCAGGAGCCCTCCAAACACGCTGCTCATTTGTTCGCACAAAAGCCAGGCTCCCAGCTCTCTTGCAGAGCCATGTTCACAGTTGGATCCTTAACGCATTGTGAGCGTTCAATCAAACTTTTAGTGGTGAAACTCTGGGAGCAAAAAGCCAGCTAAGCCCAAATGGTCCCTTTGCTTTTCCATCTTTTGTGGCTGCCTGGCTGTGGTCTTATGGGTTTTGTTGTCAACAAACTCCTGGCTTGCCTTTGAGCACTCCAAATTATTGAAAATGACTACAGCTTAAGACTGGCAGGATGATTGTTAAAAACAGCCCTGGCATTAATCATAGCTTAAGAGCTTTTGGAAAATGATTCTAATTCAGAAGGGGTGGCTTACAAAGAGGCTTGTCGAAAGCGAAGCAGACATCAACTTCTGAAAGGCGAAAAGCCTCCTTGGTACCCACACCTGGCTTCTTCAGAAATCCAGCTGGCAGACGTGTGCAGGGGGCCCAGCTTACCCCACCAGCTCAGCCCATCTGAGACCACCTTGGGTTTTCCACGGGTCTCACAGCACCCGTCCCCCTGATCTGGCCCCCACCCCGTCCCCCCTCAGAAGGGAAAGACTTCTGGGAGTGCCCATGGTTATATGTCTTACTGGTAGTCCTTGGAATAAGGAAGAGGTGGCTGGGCACCCCGTATTCTGTCAACGATTGGAATGCCTTAGACCAGCGCTACAATAATCTGGTGCACAGAGGCAGCTGCGTGGGCAAACACACGGTCAGCACTTGCAAGGAGCCAGGCAGGGCAACGAGCAAGTACTTCTGCCTTTTGCCTGCCTGGCACAACAAAGGAGAATGATTTTTGCCATCAGCATTCTCCCTATCATGGAATCATTGCACAATTTAGTATGATTAATGGTTTCCATTTAGGAGAAAGCTGAGAATGAAAACAGTGGGGGAGTGTCAGCAACCGGCTGGGGGTGTTCGCGGCTGCCGCTAGAGCAGAGGGGCCGGGCTGGGGTGGGGGGTGGGGGGTGGGGGTGGGGGGGGCGGGTGGTGCCTGCCGGCCATGCCCGCTACCTTTCCTTCCTGGCATGACTGGGGAGGCACTCTGGGGCGAAGAGACACATGGTTTTGGACATGCATTTGCAGAAACAGTCAGAGCCGCAACCTTGTGATGCCCCGGTTGCTGTTTCGTCCTTGTAGCCTTTGGAACAGTGTTGACTGAGGAGCTACTCCCTCTCCACCTGCCAAAGGGGGAGCTTCATTCCCGGACGTTCCTACCTAAGGGCTGTATGGCTGGAGCTAGCAAACTCACTACACCACTTCTTGGCATTCCTGAGGGCCACACAGGGCTGCCACACAGGGAAGGCCCCCACCTCTGTGCTAGGATGGCGGCGGCGGCGGCAGCCTTGACCAGAGCCACCGCTGTCTCTGGAGCCCCCGGGCTGGACGACCTAGTCTCAGCTCCCATCGGCTGGCTCTCTGGGGCGTTCTTGTCCGCTCTGCAGCATCCCGGGCTTTCCACTTCTGAAGGCACTGCTTCTGGTCAGATCGCACGGCTGCTGGAGGTGGGTGGTGAGACAGTGGCCGCCATAGCCAGAGACTTGTGGGTGCTGATAGAAACCAACCGGGAAAACACAGAGGATTCAAGAGGGCCTGCATTTCTTTCTTTCTTTCTTTTTTTTTTTTTTAAGCAATAAGCTTTTGTAACTGAAGCTGGAAAGGGAGAAAATTGGTGATCTCGGCTGGGTCTAACGTGACTCAAGACCCTTCTCGATGCACTGGTGTCTCTGCAAGGAAATCTATTATTTTCCATAAACTGTCTTAAGCATCTCCCAGGCTACATTTCTGGCTGTGTTAAGAATCAAGCCATCAAGGACAGCTGTGAATGTTATAAACTTTCAGCAGCAGCAATGGGCTTTGGCAGGGAAGTAGGAGCAAAAAACCCAAGTAGGACATTTCAGTTGACGACAGTAATGGCATTTTCCCTTCCCTGTCCAAACGATAAAAGATGCATGCTCCTAACTGCAACACTATAGCCCCCCATCACTTTATTCTGGGAGGAGGTTAGAGAGAACACGCCTAGACAGAGGGGGAGAAAGAGAAAGAGGGAGAGATGGATAGGAATTTCGTCACTAGCTTACAGAGACTCATTAGTGCAGAAGACTTCCTTCCATAGCAATACTTTCTAATCAGGTCTGCTGTGTCTGGGCAGACAGCTTTTGTGGATTAGCTAGACTGGAGCCTGACAGCATCCGATGAAATACACAACTACAGAGAAAACAAACCAAAAAGAGTAATAAAGTCACACATTTCAATATTCAGCGACCATTAAGGGATTTAAATATTTGCTTGCTATTAAAGGCTTGCATTAGGCTCTTCCAACACCAGCTCTGGAAGACTGAAATATCAATTACCGATCAATTTTCCCCCTAAGTAAACACTAATGCAGGATAAACAGTATTAGAAGATGCAATCGTAACATTGCTGACTTCAGGATGGACTTCCTGCTGGTAACAGCAAGTTTAAGCCTGGTGATTAATTAACCTGAGAAGATAGCACTTAAGGAAGATTTAAGGCGATCACATGTCTGAAATATGACTGTGAGCCAGTGCACGTTTGGAGGGCAGCTGAAGTCCCGGGCCCAGAGCGAGCGGGGATTTGACCCTCTCTAGGATTCCTCTCTTTTCCCAGAATCGCCGCCCCCACAGCTCAACACCTCGGAGGAATGGGACGGACTGTGGGTGTGCGTGTGAGAGAGAAAGCAGTAGACGTTAAGTCAGGTTCCTTGTTGGGATGCATTCCGGAGTTGAACACGCAAGGCCCGAGGTGCAATTCCCAGCATTGACCAGCAGGGGCAGTAGACTTTGGAATGAAAAATGACCTAAACCAATTTCCTGCGTACCGAGAGAGCCGGGAAAGGGAGGTGGCGAAGACTTGCAAAAAGATTCCTGCTTTCAAGTCTCAGTTTTGGGGTGCTCACATTATCCTTGTGCCTCACGCCCTCCTTCTGGCATGTGTAATGATGGGGGCAGGGGAGCTTGGGGGCATGAAATACCATGCTCATATCAGAGGCACATTGGACAATTTTGAAACGAGCACAAATAAAGCAAGGAAGCTGGTTTGAATTTTTCTAGCATGCCATACCTCATTCTGAAGGCCCCTCACAATATATGGTAGCAAGAGTGAGGCTCTGCTTAGCCATTCCTAAATCCATCCTTCCCTGTGGGAGAGAACAGATACTCTGTCCCAGCAGGTCCATGAGGATGATGGGACTGTTAGCTCCACACTCAGGTCCTTGAGACCAGTGGGAAAGCTGCCTATGCTGAGGACGCACTTGCAAATGTCAAGGTTTGAGACACAGAATTGGTGACCTTCACACTAAGTCAAAAGTGCGACTCAGCAGCCAGGTGCTCCCTGGAGTGCCCGACTCCTTGCTGAATGCCTACTATGTGCTCAGCACTCTGTGACCATTGGCCCACGAGGTCTTTGGATGACAGCCAAGAGTCCTCTCTTCCTTCCCCTGGACAGTAGGTTAGGACACCCAACTGCTTCATTTTGGAATTCTTTCCAAAGTAGACATGTGCAGCTGTGGACAGACATTTCTCTCTGAAGGCACTGGGCTGCCAGTTCTTTATGACTAAGGGCCGCGTGCTTGGTACCCTGACAAAAAAGGTCTGAGGCAAATTTATAATGAAACAGAATGCTTTCACTCATGCAGGGTCTTCCTACCTGTGGCAGGGTACCTGCCTGGTTGCTTTAAGGCTCTGGATGACAGACTCAAAGGAACATTTCTCCATGGAGTAAGTCCATGGCAGAGCAAGAATTACATTTCCAGTAGACAGAGGACAGTGAAAGATTGCACCAATTAACACCCACATATCACCTCGGGGTTCCAGTTGATGCATTTGGAGAACGCAAGCAGGCCAAAACATTTGTGAGAACCCTCCGGAGGACATGAGGACCATTTTCACTCCCGTGCCAAATGAAGGACCGGGCAACTTATCAAGCTCGGCTCACGTGGGCTGCTTCTGGCGCCTCCTCATTTGCATACCCTGCAGAACTCTAATGGCCAGTGTGTGGCAAGTCACCACCCCAAGTCGGCCTCAGTTCAGTGATCGTGGGTCCCTTCACTGTAGGTCACGGCGGAATCTGGAGTGTCATGTTACAGACCAGGGGACAGGGGTCGTTACACCTTCCAAGGCAAGCTTCACGAGGGCATGAGGTGCCCACATGCAGAGGGGCCCGAGGAGCTCCCTCGGCTTGAGTGGTACCCACCTCTTGGTAGCCGTGGGGAGCCTTCTATGCTTTCACTCCATCTTTCTCCATCCTGTATGGCTGACTTTGTGTCTGGCACCTTATTTGCTAAGCACTTCCTGCTTCTCTCCTGTATTTCTCTTAACAACACTTATGGTGAGCCTCACCTTCCAGAGCAGGAGCCCAAGGCCAGGTAGGGTGGGTCCCTTGCCTGAGGTTTCACAGCTAGTGGGTGGTGGGGCAGGGACTGGAGCCCATCCTCCTCATCTCTGCCCTCTATCACCCTCTGTAAAAAGCTATGAAGAATTAGTGCTCCCCGCGGCTCTGTGCCCCCGGCAGAGGCCCGGACCAGCCCTTGAAATCGTGACTTGTGTGGCTGGGATTTGAGGACAACCACAAGACTGATCCCACCTTCCATGTCTCATCTGGCTTGCTTTAGTCCCCCCCCCCCCCACAGGCCCGCAGGCTGGCTGGGCTTACTGCCCTCGGTGCCTTCGACTTCCATTCCCTCAATGCTAATCCATGCTTTCAGGCC